AATTCATGAAATAAAATAATCAAATAGTGCCAAAATAACCCTCTATCATTTCCAGAACAGGATTATTCAGCTGTTTGTTTATTAAACAATGTAAGGATTGAAGACATTTCTACCACAGGATCCAGTCCAAGTTTTGCCCATTCTGATAGCCCTGGATCAAGTCTATGGCAAATATCCAATATAAATGCAATCTTACAAACAAATGTCCACATAAATTCAGCTCTACAAACATGTAAAGATAATTCACTATTATTATTTTGATTGTCTATGCACATGAACCTTTCATTCCCAGCCACTAAGGCAGGCAAAGAGGAAACAGGATTAGCTCCAGAGTGCATTGCAGATCAGGTCAGTCAGCTCCTACAGAACGACCAGGCTGGGCTTCTCACCAGCACTGCTGGAAGCAGGCAGCAGAGTTAATGAGGTGGCAGCAGCAACAGCCATAAGAGCAGAAAGCAGAGATGTGAGAAATGAGGTAACAATGAAAGCTACAAGACTTACATCCTAAGTAGTCAGGAAGTCTCCCATTGCCAGCTACCTCAGCTAGGAAATGCTGCTTTTTGAACCCTCCACAGGAAGCTGGAAAGCTGCATTTGAAGCATCAAAGCAAACTGCCTGCCTCCTCTACCTGCCAGGGCCTTTCCCTCAAACCTTACATCATTCATCACCTTCTCTGCCACTCCACTGAGATTTCTAACTTCTAAGAATCTTCAGACAGTGACAGCCATTGCCAGATTTCCAACCAGGTACATTTGTGCTCTTTCAAACTGTTCCTTCAATTAGGATCACAGCCACAAGATAAACTTTCAAGAGATTGCCATTTTTGTTTTTCAGATTATCACTTGACATTACTTTTATAATTACATCTATGCAAGAAGGGCACATAACTCATGTAAATCTTTACAATAGTTTGGCAGCACACCCAATATTGGCATGTGACATTATTGTTTCCCCGTACTCTCTCAGTTATCTTGTGGTTTGAGGCTTTTTGGTGAGTCTTTGCCAGTGCTCTGCTGCAGGCTTCATCTTTTGTGGTAGGTATTGTGGAAACTTCAAACAATTGATTCTGGTTCATACCCAAGGCTCTAAGGTAACATTATAATTAAAATTAATGAGAAAGGGATGCAGTTCTAGCTATGAATTGATTCTGTGGTCTTTGTTCCACAAAGGAGGACCCCAAGAGTAAAAACTGTAAGTAATACTCTATGTTTCAAATGTATCCCGTTCATACTCATCTATTACTGCTCTTATTACCTTCTTCAGTGGTAATTTCGTGGGGAAAGAACCATCAGTGCACCTCCATTTGCAGCTTTCAGGACAATACACTTCTGGAAAAGCAAAGGAATTCAGTCTTTCCCTTAGACTTTGTTTTCAGCTACACCATTCAGCCTTAAAAGCAGCTTAGATTCTATTGTTTTTCCCTGCTCTGACTGCTTACTATACCTAAAGAGTGAAGTCATTTTACATTCTGAAACCATTTTGTAAAGGTAAAAGCCCTGAACATCAGGTCTTACAAAAAGAAGTTAAACTAAATCCATTTTAATCCTAATGTTTACCTTAGTGTTTAAACCTTAAGTCCACATTCTTCACCTCATCTAAGGCGAGAGAAGCTGCAGAGCACGCAAAACTTTTTACAACAGTAGATATCCCTTGTAATCAAAGTCCAACAGAGCTCAAACACACACAAAAAGACTTTGGAGAGTCATTAGTTTAAGTAAAAGTTGGATATGTCCATGCACCTCAGAATAACACACAGCACTACTGCATTCTCATATCGCTTCAGAGTTGTATGCAGGACAGAACTAAATACCACTGAAGCAATACAGCTCCTTTACACAGTATTGGCTCCTTTGGGATCATCCTTCATGCAGTTCTATAGATTAAGCTCCAGGATGAGAGGCAGTGGCTGCTGACTTGTTCTCCCTAGGAGTTTCTCTTTGTTCACCCTCCCATAGGTAGGTAAAGGTAAAAGTGGAGTATCTGTCTCACAGGCATAAATGTCAATCTCCAAATCAAGACTTCACATATTTACCCTGCAGTGCTAACACCAACTCACTACCCACTAAAATACATCGAGAAACAAAGATCGGTATTTAAATTCCTAGCACTCTCATGAAATTAATTTATATAGTAAGAGAATAGCCTCATCATGAAGAAAGCAACATTTGAATAGTTTGAGCACAAATTTCATTTGACAAGAGGAAGAAAAAATTAAGCAATTTTCCAGCTATTTAAACACAAAGAACAGCTTCAAGCTAATTAATGCTTTACCAGACTAGCCAAACTAATAAATTTATACGGTAGATTGGAAGTAGCTTCCATAAAAACCACCACCAAGCTAATATGTGAACCTGTGCTATAAGGTATAGCTTTACGAGGGAATCAGAACAAAATAAACCATCTTACACCTCCATGCAAACAGACAGGAAGCTCTACTTCAGATGGAATACAGATACTGCTGATCACTCACATGCAAAAATTAACTCTGTAAATTCCAGTGTCAACAGCAGAATAAGACTGTCCAAGATGAACTATGCAAAGGAAGAGAGGATGTATTCATTGTAAAAACAAGGAATTAAGTCCCACAGAGCAAAGGAATACCAAAGCCCTTCTTTAAAATGAAACTTAATTGGTACCATTATTCATTTTGACTGATTTATAAGTAACAGTATAATTCTCTAGGATGCCAAAATAAACCAATTTTATAGGCTCATAAAATCATAGAATGGCTTGGGTTGGAAGGGCCAAAGACCATCGAGTTCCAGTGCCCCTGCCACACACAGGGTTGCCAACCACTAAATCAGGCACTACATCAGGCTGCCCAGGGCCCCATCCAACCTGGCCTTGAACACCTCCAGGGTTGGGGCATCCACAGCTTCACTGGGCAGCCTGTGCCAGTAACTCACCACTCTCTTCAGTGAAAAATTTTCCCCTATCATATGATCTGTATCACTCCTGTTTTAGTCTAAAACCATTCATCCTTGTCCTATTACAATCAGACCATGTAAAAAAGACAATCTCTTCCTGTTTATAAGCTCCCTTCAAGAGTTGGAGGGCCACAATGAGTTCTCCCCAGAGTCTTCTCCTTTCCAAGCTGAACAAGCCCAGCTCCCTCAGCCTGCCTTCATAGGGGAGGTACTCCAGCCCTCTGATCATCTTTGTGGCTCTCCACCAGACCCTCTCCAAAAGCACCACATCTTTCTTGTGCCAGCAGGCTGGATACACAGCACTCCAGATGGGGCCTCAAAAAGGCAGAGTACAGAGGGACAATCATCTCCCTCACTCTGCAGGCTGCCCTTCTTTTGATGCAACCCAGGATAACTCTTGGCCTTCCAGGCTGCAAGCGTGCACTGCTGGTTCATGTTGAGTTTTTCATCTACCAGGACCCCTAAGTCCTTCTTGGCAGGGCTGCTCTCAATGACTTGCTGAATTAATTTCACAATTCAGTTCTTTCTTTTGAAACAGCTGGTTATGACTGGCAACAGAGTACAAATCCACATTAACATCAATGATACTTGCTTCTTGATGAGCAAATGAATCAAATAAGCACAGTACACAAATACTATTTTTAAACAGACGTTGATTAACATCAGTCTTTCCTTCCAGCAATTGATTTTCTCCATCAATTAGATACCACCCTCACAAATACATTTCTAACTCTGCCCTGGAACTCATAACATGGATCTTAAGACTGGTTTCCTTTCAATTTTGCTAAAACTGTGGTCCTAAGCTCAAAAATCCCTTACTTACATAGGCAATCCCATATTCCAGCTTTCTGCTTGATCATCTTCATGTTGTTCCCTACTCTGCTTTTAGGAAGGGAGGATTATCAAGTATACCCTCATCTCAAAACTTCTGCTTAAGAAGCTTTCCTCTGCTAAGATATCTAAAGAATGCAACCAAACAGTAACTGAACACTACCCAGAAGATCTGCTCCTTTGATGGCAACCTTATTCAGCATTACCCCTTTCTTCTTCTCTTCACAAATTTGTGTCCTTCTGATCCTTTCATTACATCCTGACACTGCAAGTTCTCTCATTCTATGAGAAAGATGAAAATAGTGAAGAAATTAGAAACTCTGTTCCAACTCTAAATTGGCTCCCCAGCAGCTATATGTCCATGCACTAGCTTTAAAGTTTGCCCAAGGCACCCTGAGGCCAAGGCAATATGGAAGCAACAAGAAAACCACAGCTATTTGGCCTTTATTTGCTTTGAACACAGCAAGAACCTGCACTTTTGACTTTACTGATAAAAACATCAGCTCAATTATGCCTACATACCAGTTAAATGCTTTCAGGCCTTCCACATCTTCATGTTTTATACTAAGAGATACTGTCTACAAACATGAAAAAAAATCCACTGCAAGCCAGAAGCACTTAAGACATCAATGGACCAGGAAAGAAAACAAAACAAAAAAAGAACTTTTTCCTCCTGTCCTGTTTCACTCTATTTAAATCATCCACACCTGCTAAACCACAGCTACAACATTAGTCTCTAAAAGGTTGTCCACACCATGACTGAAGGGAACTTTATTTACCACATATTCATTTGTAGAGAAAAGTTAGAGAGTTGACTTTACTGTAAGGGTGAAAATATCCGCTGACAGAACTTATAGAAGTGGGCACCATGGACCTTGTCATGTATAACTAAAATCTCGTGGCTATTTTTCAAGGTACAAGTTCAGAAGAAGGAGCAGATGTGGCCTTCAAGATCTATGGCTATAAACAGCAGGAGCAGATGTGGCCTTCAAGATCTATGGCTATAAACAGCAGGCTAAAAAAAAAAAAAAAAAAGGGAAAGCTGCTTACACATTTCCAACAAGAGAGAAATAAGTAGCAAGGCAAGTATATTTCAAAGCACAATGTAAAAATCCACAGTCCTAGTTACAAAACTGAAGATCCTTTCTCCATCAGATCCTTTCTCCATCACCTACTTGCAGAAGACTTAACAGATTAGACAAACACTGACTCAAGCGAAACTTCACAATTCTTATCACTCACCTTCTACTAGCTGGTCCAAGGAGGAAATCTTTTTGGAGCCATCGATTGTGTAGATAGTTCTCACTCCCTGGGGCAGGTTCACATTGTCAGACAGAGTTCGGGTCAGATCAGCCAGCAGAGCTTCAAAAGATCTAAAGCGGTCAGGGGAGATGGCGTATACAATCCCTTTGAAATACCGGTCTCCGTTACGATAGAAACGAACTTTCTTGGCCTTCTTCTCGGAACTCAGGGTCTGCAGAGTACGGGTTCGGTAAAAGCTGCAGTGGGCACTGTGGGTAGGGCTGGGCAAACCATTTACCCGGGACCCTCGGCCATACCGCTGCGCTTTATCACGCTCATCAAAATGCTCCAGCTCCATGTCTCTCCCAAACGACATCTCGAAGTTCAATCTAAGGGATATACAAGTAAAGAGGTTGGACAACTTACACATCTTAGAGGAGCTCACCTTCACACATCATGTTATATACAAGACAGATACAGATGACTACTTCCCAGACTGAGAAAAATGCTTGAATGAAGCCATGCTACATTCACTTGTTCATTTTACAGCCCTCCTGACGTGCCATAAAAACCGGTTTATAAGTTATGCTTTTATATGCCACAGAAACACCACTCAGGAAACCAATTGCTAGGCGTACACAAGCATAAAAGTTTATTCAGTAAGAGCTCTGAAAATGAGGTGACAAAGAGGAGCTACTGGGAAAGAACAAATGGGTCAGCTTTCTACCTTTTCCTCATCGTATATTCAGGCGATATTTGAGTCCACTCTGCCTTCTAGACCATTCGACCCCACTATATTGTTTGTTCCACCCATGATCTCAAAAGGTGTCACTTCAAAACACAGTAATTGCCCAGTGCTTGGCAACAAGTAAGAGCTCCTCAGAGGAACAGACGTGGCAGCTTGGTGATTAGAATCAGAACTATCAATACTAGTAATATGACTTGGTGGGTCAAGCCCACTGTTGAAACGTTTTTGCTCATTCCAACCACCATCTAAGGGATATATAAGTAATGACAATTTCAGTGGTCTTTGTACAAACATTTCACATACTCCGAACCAACAGAAATGCTCAAACATCATGAAATAAAGAAAAAAATAATAATAAAAGAAAGAAGGTAAAGGAGTCACCAAGCTAGTATTATTCAAAGGACAAGCTGCTTCTCTGCTTAACAATACTTCTTGAAAATATTGTGTAAGTCCTAACACTAGTATTCAAGTTGCTGGCTGGCAACAGCTTCTTTTGCCAAGAAGACTGTCACTGGAGTGATAAATTCAGTGTTGATGAGCAAACTAGCAATTAGTATCACCCATGCTTGACAGTGGCAAAGAGCTCTCTGTTCTGGCCAAAATGGGCCCAATTGTTCAATATAAGTTCACATAAAGGGAAGTTTACTCTTTCAGAAGTTAAATCAAGGAGGCATTTACTTGCTTTCTTTTTTATGAGTGATACAAGACTATATACTATAGACTGCACATAAATCACATAGATTGCTTCATAAATCATTTTTAAGTATGAGCAAAATTTAGAACAACCAGAAGATTATTAGGTTAGAAACACTTTTATTTGAGTCACCTAAATTTGCAGTTCCCTGCAGAACAGCAAAGCACACTAAGTTTATTTATTGCGCAGATACACAGACCTAATTTAAAAGTGGTCTCTCTCATTGATTTCCAGTAAAAAGAAAACAAAAAAAAAAACCAACCCGCAAGCCCAAGCTTGGTTTGAACCACTCATGATTGTATGTCCTTTAAAAAAGTAACATCCAGACCTGCTGCAAAGCAGTAGGAGCAAACAGTAAGAGAAAACACAAAGAACTACAGATGCTCTAAGCTTACACAAGCTTGCACTAAAACAGGGATCATAGAGCTGGACTTTGTTGCTGAAAAACTGTAGGGAATGTGCTCCACAGCTTCTCTGAGCTGTTCACGTGCTCAACCAGAGCCAGCACCTAAAGCAACCACTGCGAGCACAGGGTCTTGAAAATCACTCACCCTGGCTGGGGACAGCTTATCACTCACCCTGCTACATACACACTGCATCACGTGCTCGTGTATAAGGGCAAGATTTATACTTGCAACACTTTTAAAGCTGCCAATAGTGCATGTGTGTATATACACACATACACACACTATATGTATGCATGCATGTACATAAAATGTGCACGTGAAAAAATTTACTGTGTGGTGTATGTGCATATATATACATACATGTACATATACGCACAAACACAAAACCATACAGATATAAATATGAAAAAAAATATATATATATAGGCAGGAAAATAATTCCCCTCATCAGTACATAAGCAGCACTCCAACTCACAGGACAAGGAATTTCATTGACATTCCATTGACAGTTCCCTGAGTTAAATACTAAATATGATTTAATGGCCACAGCTTAGGATTGTGACTACATGCCATGACGTTTTTAGGTTGTTTTATCCCATTTTTAATGGCAGCAAGAAGCTGTTAGTCAGACGGACACGATCTCAGAACTCACAATTCAAAACCTGTACCTGGGAAGCAACGGCAATGATAGGAGAAACGGATTTTCCTTAGGGCTGCTGTTTCATTTGCTCAATTCGTCTCACACACGCACAAAACAGAAGGAAAAATAAGTTACACCAAGATATGGCTTTTCAAAAGGCTCTCAGCTCGAATCATTAGGGGGCATGGGGCAGAGAAGTGTGAGCCGCTGCCCTTCCTTCGGCACGCTTATGCTTTAATCGATAATGGCCGTAATTCCCAATTACGTCCTTTAGAACAGAAATCGTGCTCCCGGAACGACTCGGCGCTGCTAATTACGGCAAAGCGTGCGCAAGCCACAAGGTCGGAGCAGACAAAGAAATTCTAAATAATCGGCTCCGATGTCTCGGCGCCGTGCTCGCACACACACGCGTACAGACAGACGGCTGTACGGGAACAGAGGGACACACCCGAGCACACCGCCGAGCCCAGCGCTGAGCCAAAGCGGCACCCAATGCAGGTGTGGGAGCTCCCATCCGTGGTGTCACACGGCGGAACGCACATCACGCTCCGATGTGACCGACCGGGGACCCGCCAACCATCCCCTCAAAGTCGAGGAGAGAGCGACCGCAAAAAGGAAGATACATACCGGCAGATGCACACGGACACAAGCGGTAGCGGCTGAACAAATACAGATGCCCCGCAGCGCTGGGGAAACGCGTGTGAAACGCGCTGAGGAAACCTCGTGAGAGGCACGGAACACCCAGCCCTGCCGCAACGTCAGCCCCCGCCGACACAACCGCCGCCAGCCGCGCCGCCCCAGCGCCGGGCAGCACCTGCCGCGCTCCCCAGCGCCGCCGCCCGCGAAGCCGAGAGCCCCGCCGCAACGAGCGGAGGCCGCCGCCCCACACAATGGGCACAGGTGCACCGCGCCGCGGCGGGCGCCCGACCGACGGCCGCGCCCCGACGGCCGCCCCGCCGCAGCCCCCGGCCCTTACCTGCTGTCCGCAGCCCGGCGAGAGCCTCTCTCCCTCGGAGCTGCCGGCAGGGCGAGCTGGGAAGGCGGCGGCGGCGGCGGGCCGAGCTGGGAAGCGGCTGAGGGGCGGCAGCTCCCCCCCCCCCCCGGCGACCACCCGGCTGCGATCGCAGGAGCTGCCGCAGAAAGCGGCTCGGATGCCTTTGTTACGCCTCCCCCGGCTGGAGAGCGCTGCTGGGGAGCCCGGGCTGCAGCTGCTTCGCCTTTCTGCTGCTGCTGCCGATTGCAGTGATTTGCATTAGCCCGGCCCTCATTGAAATGCGGCTCTTCACACCAGCCTCTCCCGGCGCTCTCTCCAGAGGGCGGCACCGCCGTCCTCTCCCCCTCTCTCTCACTCCCTCCTTCCCTCCCTTCCCCGGGCGCTGCGGGGCTGGCCGGGCCTCGCTGAGGCGCTTGCTTACGCTCCCGATCTGAGGTGATTTGTGCCCGGGGAGCTCGAGGAGTGAGAGCCGTGTCCCCTCATGGGCACCTCCGGAAGGTTTGCCTGATCCCAAAGTGCTGAGAGCCCACGCACTCACTGGAGCCCTGCGACCAGGACCTGTGTGCTCCAGGGCGGATCGGTGTGGACTTTGGGCACTAAATTGGAGCCAGGCTTCCTCGCGCTATTCGCGTCTTTGCTGGCTGATCCCAGAGGTGATGCACCTCTGCAGATCCTGCAGTTCCTATGCTTAAGTTTCCCAGAGGATGCTTTTGCCCAACGGTGTCTTAGACTTCATCTGACTGAGTGTCCCTTATGCCTGATCCCCTCAGGTCTTGGACCACGTACGTGAAACCAACTCACACTGAAATTCAGTTTTGGATGAGCAGTTATAATTGATGCTTTCCCCACAAAGACTTGAATATTCTTGATGTTCATACTGAATAGTCTTATAGAATATCCTGAGCTGGAAGGGACCTGCAAGGCTCATGGTGTCCAGTACCTGACTCCACACAAGGCTACCTAAAAATTAGGCTGTATTTCTGACAGTGCTGTCCAAACTCCTTGAACTCTGTCAGCTGGAGGCCATGACCACTGCCCTGTGGAGCCTGTTCCTTGCCCACCACTCTCTGGTGAGGAGCCTTTTCCTAACATCCAGCCTGACCCTGCCAGGTTAAAACATTCTCAAGGTGAAGGGCCTGGTTTGCTTTCCTCTATGCAATTTAACTCTCTTTTGCTTGCCAGGTAAACAACACAGAGTCCAAGGGGACGTGAAAGGAAACAAAACACTGTCTGTCCCTTCTGTTCAAGCTGCTTTGCACTCTGAAAGAATTAAAAATGCATTAGACCAGAGAGAGGGAATTAGTCTGCAACCTAGTGGTTATGGCACTCGGTTGGGAAGGACAAAAGATGGCTTTGTGTGGCTGTATTGGAGACATTTGCTGTGCCTTATATCCATAAATCCAGAAAAAAACATCAGTGGATGGGGAATCAGCCCAGGTGCCCTGCTCCCATTGAAGGTCTTTGATCACAACAGAGGCTCCCACTTCACCTTTCTCTTTGGGTCAACACCACCTTCAGCCTATAAAAAGCTATAAAGGCTCAAAAGAAGCAGACAATGGAGCATTCCTCTTCTTCCAAGTTCCCCTAGAACAATAGTCAGGCTCTTGGGAGACAGGAGATTTCCTGATGGAGAAAAATTCATTGGTGCTCTGTCTCTCTGTCTGTTTTTGAAAGACAGATGAGTACCTGAAACCCTCAGAAACACCTTTACTTGAAAAATTCCTGCACACCAAAGCGATTCAGAACTGATCATACAGCTCTGTCCTCAGCACTCTCCTACCACTTTGCTTTGGTTTTGTGCATCCTGGCACTTGATCCTCCCCACACAGCCCATGGGGCACTAGGACACTTAATTGAGGTCATTTTTCAGACCCAAGTTCCCAATAGCTGAGCACCTCCACACTGCATATTTCACCAGCTATATTGCTTTCTGTCTATTGTCCTGAAACTCTCTTGATTTGTGTTTCAATGTAACAGGTTCAGCGATACTGGTAAACGTTAGTGTATTTGACTGGAAAAAAATTTTTAAAGTATTCTGGTAATCTCACATTAAAATTATATCCTTAAAACCACGCTTTTGTAGGTCAACAATCAGATAAAATATTCATGGTGATCTTAAATGATAAGAAGAAACAGGAGATTGCAAAGATTACTGATGGAAAAGACTGTCAGGGTCCTGACAATAGGCTGTTCTTTAACATTGTTCAGTGCTGATTTGTCTGACACTGTCGCAGGTAATGGGGCTTCTGCTTCCCAAAGGAGACATCTCTTCTAAGTGGAATTCCTCCAATTACAAGATTATTATTTTTTTTTTTTCTGACAATCAGGTTAATGGAAAATTTCTTATGTTTCACTTCATTACTTCCAGCTATTGTGTCCTGTGTTCACGTACATCATTTATTTATCCCGTTGGTGTTTACTTCTCTCTGACATGTATTATTTATGCCTAACCTAAGTGTGCAAAATACTTCGCAGATGTTCAAGAAAGATCCTCACTCTGATTACATTACACATTAAAATAAGTTTTGAAAAGTATGCAAAGGTTAAAATAAAAGAACTCAGTATAAATAAATACTGACGTATAAATCTAACAGGCAATTGTATTTAAAATGTGTTCTATTTCATCTATTTGCAGTGTCATGTTTAACACAAAGACGCAATACAACACCTCATGGTCTGCTTCCCTCCACTGCACATTCTTAGTGTGTTTTGGGTTTTAAAGAACTTTGAGGGATGCTTCTCCTTTTTGTTTCTTGTTTTTGCCTACAGCTTACACAGAACGATGCAATCGTAAACAGAAGCAAAGATGACACAGATTGTTTCAACAGTCACACTGCCATTCTGTTAAATAAACGCACTGTTTTTCTAACATGGAATTGTCTTAACTTTCATTTGGATAGAGTTAGGAACTTGGACTTCCTATCTCTGTCTTTGTTAACAGTCGGGTTTTTCAGATCCAGTGGCATTCTAGCAGGACTCTTCTGAGCATTTCTAACTTTTAAGCACTGCTTTGAAGGAATTGGATACAGTGGAATTGGATACAGTTATGTCACCACCCAATGTGTCTATCTCTTCAGGCTGTGCCAACTGCCTTGGAACATTGTTCTGGGAACGTCTCTTATCTGGCTAACCACTGTGACCCCTAAATCCTAGTTAGAGCCACTGCTTTCCAAGACACGGTCTCCAGACTTCTAAACATGACCTACATTCTTTGTTCCTTCCGAATGACCTTTCATACAGCTGTCTCAAAAAGCGTGTTCAAATAATCCTGGCTTACTAAAGGATGTCAAATTCCCTATAGAAAAAGTGTTTTTTCTTTGCATTATTTAGTGCTCTATGCATTTTAAGTCATCTGCAATTTTACTAGTCGTGCTGTTAAATATTCCTTCAGATCACTCATAAATTTATGCAGTAGTAGAGGACATCCTTTTTCAATATATGGGGCTTGATTCCCCAAGGCAAGAGTGCCAAGGGTATGTTTGGAAATCATTCTACTTCATGTCACAGTGGCACCTGGCTCTCGGGATGCCGACGCAGGCTGAGAGCTGGTGCTGATGTGGTGATGTGTTCTGTCAGCCTGTGCCAGCTCCCAGCAGGGACCCAAGCAGCTGGAACAGCACTGGACAGCTTTCAAAGCGTTCTGGGGTGGGCAGCGCGATCCTTCAGAGTCCAGAGATATTTTGGAAAAAAATCTCTTGAAAAAGATCAGAGCTCTACGAACTGCTCCTGATTTACCCGAGGGAGAAGTATTTGCTGTCTATAGTCACTTTTGGAGACCTATCGTTCAGCTGATTTTTAATTAATTATTATCTATTACACTGATTTTGTGTAACACTAATCACTTAATTAGATTGATGAGCTGCTGAGTGTCTGTTGCTTCTGTGAATGTATGTCAATGCAGTTACCTCTATCAATCATATCAATCATAGGCTCTCACCCAGAAGGCTAACAAATTTGATATGTTCATTGGCACTAATTACACAATCATTATTTGTATTGATTACATCAATATCAGGACTTCAGTTATCTTACCTGCTACTGATTCTGGGATAGATGGAATTTTATTCTGCAAACTATTTTAATGTATGTAATTTAATTTTATGTAATTTAAATGCTAGCACAACCTTAGCTCTGAGCACATTTGTAATACTTCCTTAATATTCTTTATTTTCTTTAACACAACATTAATTGCTCAGGCACTCCAGTAATAAATTGTTTTCAGACTTAAAGCAGAAATGCATTAGAAGTTATTTACGTGTTATAAAGCAGTTGCATATTACAAAGCATGCCACGTTCATAACAAGAATGTGATTACGTTATGCAGAAATGTCCACTGAATACTTCTGTTTGTTCTGCACTGGTTTTGACAATTTCAACTGGTTCTAATAACAAACCTGTGACATTGCTAGCATTTATTTCATTCACAATAGTGTGTATTTTTAATTCCTCTCATTAGTATATCTGACTGTAGAGTTCCTCATTGCTGATTTATCGTGTTTGTTGTTGAATAAGTCAATAAAAGGTTTATACTATATTTTCTGTCCTTCTGTATTTCCTCTTCAGTAAGGATATTTAGAACAAAAGATGGTATCCTCTCTCACTACACAATTCAATTTTTTGTTTCTAGTAAAATCATTCACAGTTAAAGACCTTTTATCTTGTTTATTCTGCCAGTAACTAATTTTATCAAGAAATTCATCCTTTTAAAGCAGATTACAGATCAGGCCTAAACTTGGTTAGCATACAACAGATGGAATTACATGCTGGTAATTGTGTAAGACATTCTTAAAGTTATTTATACCTGTATGTCCATTGGAAATGGATTCCACTCTAAAGCGTATCTGTCTCGGATGTGACATTATTTCCTTTTGTTGTAGAAAATTTTGGTTTTTTGATACTATATGGATATTTAATTATCTCAACAGAAGACCTGCAGTACGGTTTGTCACAATTTTGTCTCCTACCTTTTTTCTTTCAGACATTATTCAGATATTTCAGATGTTATAAAGAGCATGTTTAAAAAGCTGCCTTTCTGATTTTATTTGCTTGCCTGTATTGGTTAAACCCAAAACCTTGTCATCTGGGATTACCAGTAGAAACTGACTATTCAGGTGGCAGACCAAGTCCTACCTGTGAAACAGCCCCATACATCTCCACAACATGCTGCATCGTCATGTAGTAAAGCAAGATAATTATCTAAGTAAACTGCTGCTATAATCGTACTATAATCTCCTATCTACGTTGCCAAGAAGCTGAATTGGAATCGTTCTGATGTGCAGGATTTGAATTTTTGCTGGGCTTTAGTTCA